CAGGTGGAGCTAATCCATGTCCTGTAGCTAAGCTTTCCAATGCAAGACTGACCTAAAATGGCTCCCTCTCCTCCCAGAGCCCTGGTGAAAGGGGCGGAACCCAAACTTAATAATGATTGATGGGTCATAGGCCCTATAATTGCAAACCAAGGGAAACCACCTTATTGCAAAATGCATGGAACTTTGGAATACATGCAAACACTCAAAGAAAGAAAAGGAAGTTGGAGCTTTTGGTACAGCCGTACCAGCACAGTGCAGATCAGTGGTTCTCAACCTTCCTAATGCTGCGACTCCTTCATACAGTTCCTCATATGTTGTGGTGACCCCCAACCATAATATTATTTTTGTCGCTACTCCATAACTGTTGTTTTGCTCCTGTTATGAATCGTAATGTAAATATCTGATCTGCAGGATGTATTTTCATTCTCTGGAACAAATTTGGCACAAATACTCAATCTGCCAAATCTGAAGACAGGTGGGATTTGGGGGGTGGGGATTTATTTTGTCATTTGGGAGTTGTAGTTGCTGGGATTGAAAGGGTTAACAGAACTTAGAAGTGTTCAAAATGCTGAAATGCAAACCTAAAGAGGGGTTTGTCCCTCTCCTCTGGCCTGCAGAAGACCAAAAGCCAAGAGGAAATAATGTATCTGGAAGACACAAGATGCTCTATTGTCAAGTACGCCCAGGGAGTACCCAGGGTGGGTTAACACCCAAAATGCTTATCTCTAACAATAATGTGTGTGTTTGCGTAGTTTGTAGAGGGTTATCAGTTAGAGACACTGAAGTACCAAAATATGAGAAAAACATGTTTTTGAATGGTTGATCCGATAAGAGAGGTGTGTGCCCATGACACAGCGAAAAGACATGTATATAAGGTGACTGAAAGATCCAAATGTTAGAGACAGCCTTCTTTGAAGACACTGGTCTGTCTTGGCTGTTTCTTCCTGTGTGGCCACACTTGAATAAAGATTTTGCTTCACCTACGGAGACTGCTTGCTTTCTGTCACCAGCCTTGGGGTGCCTAACTAAAGGGTTACTGTGCTGTCGCACGCTGGGCCTGTGCATATGACTGTAGACAGGACATACATTCTGTGTGCCCAACGGGACGCCGGGGCTGCCTCAGATTAAATTCCCCCCTAGATTCCCCCAAACAGAGTCTTTAGAATGCTTAAAGTAAATCCAACAAAGTTCTTTATTGATGAAAACAAACAGGTACTTTCAAGCTTTCTTAACAGTCTATTGGTTCTTGCAATCTTGTTCACTGGGAACAGGCACTATCTTCTTAACTGTAACTAACTAATGGGGAAATCCTTAACTTCTAATCTGGGCAGTCTGTACTTGCCTCTGTTGGCGTGGAGCCCCTGCACCCGGTACCAACTGCGTCTGGCTTCCGCGAACGACCCTTGCCAAGCAGAGCTTTGTAGACTTCCAGGGAAAAAGAAGGAGTTCAGGTTGCTGTGATGGCTGACTGAAGTCCCTCAGCGAAGGAGTTGTAAGGCTGTATAACTCCAAACTCCAGTCAGGCTGTAGGCTGTATATCTCCCCGGCTAAGCCATAGAAGACGAAGCTTTCTACAGGAGCTCTTCGTTTTATGTCCTGTGCGAAAGGCTCTGTGTGGACTGACTCAAAAAGGCTCCTATTCCCTCCAAAACTCAAAAAGGGACGGGACCAGGGAACCGAACTATAATTGACAGGTGGCTTGTCCTAGGATTGCAGCCTATAACAGGAAGCACCCTGCTGCAAAATCCCAAGCCTGGGATTGCAAACAAACATTAACTGCAAAGCAAACAGAATTGGAGCTCCTGGTTCAGCTGTACCAACACAGGTACCCTTCAGGATTTATAGCTTGCCTACAATCAAAGATCTTTCTGAACCCCGCCAACGATGGAATTGAACCAAACTTGGCACACAGGACTCCCATGACCAACAGAAAATACTGGAAGGGTTGGGTGGGCATTGATCTTGAGTTTGGGAGTTTTAATTCACCTACATCCAGAGAGCACTGTGGACTCAAACAATGATGGATCTGGACCAAACTTGGCATGAATACTCAATATGCCCAAATGTGAACACTGCTGGAGTTTGGGGAAATAGATCTTGACATTTGGGAGTTGCAGTTGCTGGGATTTATAGTTCACCTACAATCAAAGAGCATTCTGAACCTCACCAATGATAGAATTAGGTCAAACTCCCCACACAGAACCCCCCTGACAAACAGAAAATACTGTGTTTCCCGATGGTCCTTCATGACCCCTCTGTGACCCCCTCAGGAGTCCCGACCCTCAGGTTGAGAAACACTGGTGTGGATGCACCTCAGAATTGCAAACTCTGCAACTGAATTCTTCGCATCTAATTTGGATGGAGTGTGAAGTGGCAACAGGCTGACGGCCTCAGTGTGAGATGCAGGGCTTTATTTTTAACAGGGACAGACGCTGATGCCGGGCGAAACTAGGAAGGGGAAGTGAGAGTGCCAGGCGATGCATTGTGCCTCATGGCTGCGGGTTGCCAAGTCAGCTTCGACTATAGACAACCGGACAAACAAGGGACTTCCAACTGGCCTGGTCATCCACTGCCCTGCTGTCATGAAGGGTGCCTCTACATTGTAGAATTAATGCAGTTCAACACCACTTTTAATGCCATGGCTCAATGTTATGGAGTCCTGGAGCTATAGTTTTACCAGGCCTACAACTCCCAACTGTGGTGTTGGAGGAAAGTTCTGAGAGTGCCTTGGACTGCGAGAAGATCCAACCAGTCCATCCTCCAAGAAATAAAGCCCGGCTGCTCACTGGAGGGAAGGATACTAGAGACAAAGTTGAAGTACTTTGGCCACATCATGAGGAGACAGCAAAGCCTAGAGAAGACAATTATGCTGGGGAAAGTGGAAGGTAAAAGGAAGAGGGGCCGACCAAGGGCAAGATGGATGGATGGCATTCTTGAAGTGACTGGACTGACCTTGAAGGAGCTGGGGGTGGTGACAGCTGACAGGGAGCTCTGGCGTGGACTGGTCCATGAAGTCACGAAGAGTCGGAGACGACTGAATGAATGAACAACAACAACAACTCCCAAGAGTCCATAGTGTTGAGTCATGGCAATTAACCATGGTGTCTGGCCTTGTAGGATTCTCTATTATAGCTCCTCCAAAGGGAAAACAATGGCCTCTCTGTTTCGTCAGACATTAACCCATTAGGAAAGCCACCATCGTCTTTTAAGACTTGTGTCTAACCAGAAAGACCAAGATTGCATTTGTAACTCACTGGCTAATGTTACTTCTCTTTTGAAATACATATTTATTTATTTATTTACAGCATTTCTATTACGCCCTTCTCCTCACCTCACAGGGGACTCAGGGCGGATTACAATGTACACATATATGGCAAACATTCAATGCCAATTAGACATACAACATATATAAACATACACAGAGGCTATTTAACTTTTTCTGACCGCCAGGGGAGCTATCCGTTTCATCGTCCATCTGCGACGCTGATGAAGTACTTCCGCATTCCCCGCATGCTTTTCTGGAGTGCTTTTTGCTGGAATCTTTTTATGGCCTCATAAATTAGTTAATTAACCTCCCCACACATAGGTGGTACCTAATTTTCCGACTTGACAGATGCAACTGTCTTTCGGGTCCCACGGAATGGAGCTCCCGGTGGCGCAATGGGTTAAACCCTTGTGCCGACAGGACTGACAGGTCGCAGTTTCGATTCCGGTAAGAGCGTGGATGAGCTCTGTGATGAATTGCCTACCTTTAGACTAGAATAAGCTCAGGAATAGGCCCAGATTTTTTGGCATCAATTTTGTGTAATGGTGCCACACGACCTCTTCGATCTTCTGGAAAGGCTCTTCTCTCGCTCCCGCCTGCATTGCAAGTGCGACTTGTGGGGGACGAGAGAGAGGGCCTTCTCTGTGGTGGCTCCCGGCTCTGGAATTCACTCCCCAGAGATATTAGGCAAGCCCCCACGCTGGCAATCTTCAGGAGGAACCTGAAAACCTGGTTATTCCAATGTGCCTTCAATGATTGAATGTAAGATACTCCCTGACCAAACTTTGCATAAAATGGCCTCAGATGCACTTTATTTTATGGTCCGTGCAATTAAATCCTTCCTCCTCCCCGATAATTTATATGGTCCTATCTCCCTGTGTTTTAAAATTTTATAATTGAATTTGGCCCTGCCCAGTCTAATCCTCTGTGTTTTTAATGCTTTGATTTGATTTTGTTGTGTTGCTTATTATATTGGTTGTGTATTTTATGTATTTTATGTTTTGGTTTTGTTATGCTTTTGTGTTATATTGTGTTTACTGTATTGATGGACGTAGCCTCATGTAAGCAGCACCAAGTCCCCCTGGGAGAGATGGAGCGGGGTATAAAGTATTATTATTATTATTATTATTATTATTATTATTATTATTATTACTACTGGAGGCAGCCGTCTTAGGTTAGTCATTTCCTAGTGGAGGCGGAGCTTAGAAGCAGCCTAGGGGGAAATGTGGAGAACCCTTGTGATTGGCTGGGAGAAAGTGGGCGGAGCTTGGTTGAAGTACAAAGGAGACAGAGAGCATTAGGAAAAGGAGAGTGGAAGTTAGTGAAGCCAAAGAAGTTAATGTATATACTCGAGTATAAGCCTAGTTTTTCAGCCCCCTTTTTAGGCTGAAAAAAGTCCCCTCAGCTTATACTTGAGTCAAGGTTATTTATTATTTTATTCTGCTATTAGTATTATTTTTATTACATTGATTATTTTACTCTATTATTATTATTACATTGATTATTTTACTCTATTATTACTTTTATTACATTGATTATTTTACTCTATTATTATTTCTGTAACATTATTTTACTGTATTATTATATTTATTGCATTTATTATTTTACTTTATTATTGTTATTATTACATTTATCACTTTATTATTATTACTATTATTATTCAATTTCCATTATTTACTCTATTTTTATTTTTATTACATGTTATTATATTTATTATTTTATTCTATCATTATAGGTAAGCACATTTACATTGAAGGAGGTTAGAATAATGGTTGAATCAGAGTTGGGCAGTCTTATCTTAAATTACAGTTTTGTGTAAATACTTAAAAACATTCAACCTACTGATGATTACCAGTAGCAGCTACATTTCTCACCTTCGACTTATACTCGAGTCAATACGTTTTTCCAGTTTTTTGTGGTAAAATTAGGTCTCTCGGCTTATATTCGGGTCGGCTTATACTCAAGTATATACGGGTAGTTAGAGAGTTCAGAGAGCTATTAGGGAAAAATAACTGGTATAGTGATTATAAACAGATCCCAGGAAAATGACTGTTTGGAGTAAAAGGATTCTAGTCAGGAAGAAGTCTGCTAGTTTCCCGAGGGAGATAATAATAATAATAATAATAATAATAATAATAATAATCTTAAGAGTTGTTATTGGAAACCAAGTACTGAACTATTTTAAAGTAACCAAATAAGCTTCATCTCATTCTTGCAACCGTTACACTTAAGTGCCTGTGTTTCTGAAAACCACACAAATAAACATCTTTGTTCTTTGTTAACAAACATTTGCTTCAGTGTGCCTCTGTATGAAGAAGTATTCTTAGCAAGTTAATTTCCAGATTGGTGGCAGCAACTACGTAAAAGAATCCAACAATATCCACCTCGGTGTTCTGTGCCCTGAGTTCAAATTCAGCACAAACCAGCTTACTTTCAATACACTGGTCAAACAAAAACTGAAAACCCCATTTGTCTTTGGTGGTAGCCTGATTCCATAGTAAAAACTCCTCAGAATATTATTAATTGGTGGCAGCGTGTTACGCTCGCTGGAACACCTCAGCAAGCGAGAGTCCAAAAGTGGCAGGTTAAAATCCAGAACCTCAATCAATGGCTGTTATCAAATGAGAGACTCCCTCCTGGGCACACAGAAAACTGGGTGATTTGGAAGGCGCTGAACAGACTGCGCTCTGGCACCACGAGATGCAGAGCCACAAAGTGGAATCCACGACATGAGAGTGTGCAGGTACAGCTGTACCAGGAGCTCCAATTTTGTTTGCTTTGCATTGAATGTTTGTTGTAGTCCTAAGTTTCAGGGACTCTGCAGATAGGTGGCTTCTTTTGGCTGCAATCATAGGGCAAGCCACCTGTCAATTATAGTTAGGTTCCCTGGTCCTGCCCCCTTTTGGGTTTTAGAGGGAATAGGAACCATTTTGGGTTCAGTCCACACAGAGAAGCCTTTCACACAGGACATAAAACCAAGAGCTCCTCTAGAAAGCTTCGTCTTCTATGGCTTGGCCGGGGAGATATACAGCCCACAGCTTGGCCGGGGTTACACAGCCCTACAGCTCCTTTACTCAAGGACTTCAGTCAGCCATCACGGAAACCTGAATTCTTTTCCCTGGAAGTCTACAAAGCTCTGCTTGGTAAGGGTCACTCGCGGAAGCCAGAAGCAGTTGGTACCGGGTGCAGGGGCTCCACGCCAACAGAGGCAAAGACAGACTGCCCAGATTAGAAGTTAAGGATTTCCCCATTAGTTACAGTTATGAAGATAGTGCCTGTTCCCTGTGGACAAAATTGAGAGAGAGCCAATAGACTGTTAAGAAAGTCTTAAAGTACCTGTTTCTTTTCATTAATAAAGAACTTTGTTGAACCTTTAAGCAATCTAAAGACTCTGTTTTAAGGAAATCCAAGGGCCTTTAACCTGAGGCAGCCCCGGTGTCCCGTTGGGCACACAGAATTTATGTCCTGTCTACAGTCTTATGCACAGGCCCAGCGTGCGACAGCACAGAGAGTGTGGAGGAGAGCAAACCTCAGACCACTGACTACAATGCAGCCTGGGTCCTGCCACATGCACAATGGAGGACTTCTTATAGAAACGCCAGAGGCACTCCAAGGGGCCAGATACTGGTCAAAGGACATTTAATCAACTACCAAGCTTGCAAACTTTGTGTTTTGTTTGTTTGTTTGTTAAAAAATGCAATACAACTGTTTGGTTTGCTCCTGATGCAATAAATCAACCAATCCATAAATAAATCAATAAATAGCGTGTTACATTTAATTGAGGCAGCAGCCTGAAGATTATTCTGCCTCTCTCAAACCCAGATTTAATTCCCCTAAGTCTCTACAAGCTCCCTCTGTCAGCTCCAGCACCCTATGCAAAGGGGACACGAGAGAAGCCTCCCACAAGGATGGTAAAAACATCAGAACATCCAGGCAACGCCCTTGCAGATGACCAGTTCTCTCACACCAGAAGAGACTTGTAGTTTTTCAAATCGCTCCTGACACAGACACACACACAATCCCACCAATAAAGAACAAACTGGGTGTAAAGTGAAGCTGCCCGGATCATCTCTCTGACCCTGTTATGAAAAGGGGTCAGATAGCCATCTTTGTGCATCTGTCATGCGGTTGATGGCGTAACCTTGTTTCTGCTCCGGAGAGGAAGATCCATATCAGAGGACTCAAATGACCAGAAATGAGATCCCAACAAAACATTAGGAAGAAACATCTTAATTGTGAAAGCAGTTCAACGGTGATATAATTGGAGGGTGGTGGACAGCATTTTGAAGACCATCGTCCAGGAGTTATGTGCCTCTGCATGGCAGGAGATTGGACTGGATGGCCTTTACAGTCCTTTGCAATTCTATACTTCTCGATGTATAGAATTGCAGTCTTTTATGACTTTATAGTTCTCAGATTCTATTCCTCACCAAACTACAACTCTCATGAGTCCATAGCATTGAGCCATGGCATTTAAAGTGGGGCTAGGTAAAGGTAGTCCCCTGACATTAAGTCCAGTCATGTCTGACTCTGGGGTGTGGTGCTCATCTCCATTTCTAAGCCGAAGAGCCAGCGTTGTCCGTAGACACCTCCAAGGTCATGTGGCTGGCATGACTGCATGGAGCGCCGTTACCTCCCCGCCGGAGCGGTACCTATTGATCTACTCACATTTGCATGTTTTCGAACTGCTAGGTTGGCAGAAGCTAGGGCTGACAGCGGAAGCTCACGCCGCTCCCCAGAATCGAACCTGCGACCTTTCAATCAACAAGCTCATCAGCTCAGTGCTTTAACCCACTGCGCCACCGGGGGCTCCCCCAAAGTGGGGCTAGACCGTGCTAATTCTACAGTGTAGACCAGGCATGGGCAGACTTTCAAACTTGGGGACCGCACGCCAGCGCTCATTGCTATGAAGACTGGCTGTCCATTGATGGAAGTAAAGAAGGGAAAGAGGGAAGAAAGAGAGAAGGAAGGAAGGATGACAGGGAGGGAGGGAAGGTTGGAAGGAGAAAGAGGAAGGGAGGGAAGGAGGGAGGAAAGAGGGAGGGAAAGAAGGAAAGACAAAGGGGTGGAAGAAGGGAAGGAGGAAGGTGGAGGAGGAAAAGGAAAGAGGAGAGAGGGAAGGAAGGAAAGAAAAGGAGGAGAAAGGAAGGAAGGAAGAAAGAAGGGGAAGGAAGAGAAGGAGAAAGAGGGAAGGAGGGGAGGAAAGGGGGAAGGAAGGAACAAAAGGGAAAGGAAGAAAAGAGGAAGGAGAAGGAAGGGAGAGGAGGGAAGGAAGGAGGAAAAGAAAGAAAAGCAGGGAGATGAAAGGGAGGAAGGGAAGGATGGAAGGAGAAAGGGAGGAAAGAGGGAGGGAAGGAAGACAAAAGGGAAAGAAGAAAGGAAGGAGAAAGGGAGAGAGGAAAAGAGAAGGAAGAAAGAGAGAAGGAGGGAGGGAGGAAAGAGAAGAGGGAAGAGGGAAGGAGAGGAAGAGAAGGAAATAAACAAGTAACAAAGGGAGGGAAGGAGAGAATGAACGAAAGAGAGAAAGGAAGGAAGGAAGGAAGGAAGGAAGGAAGGAAGGAAGGAAGGAAGGAAGGGAAGGAGGAAGAAAAGAGACAAGGAAGAAAGGATGGAAGGTGTAGGGGAATGGAGAGAGGGAGAAAGAGGGAGGGAGTGAAAGAGGAAGGAAGGACAAAAGGGTGGAAGGGAGGGAGAAAGAGGGAGGTAAAGAAGGGAGGAAAGACAGAAGGAAGGAAAGACAAAAGGGAGGGAAGGGCAAAAGGGTGGAGTTGGAAGAGACCTCGTGGACCATCCAGTCTAACCTCCTGCAAAGAAAGCAGGAATATTGCATTCAAAGCACCCCTGGCAGACGGCCATCCAGCCTCTGTTTAAAAGAAGGAGCCACCACCACACTCAGGGGCAGAGAGTTCCACTGCTGAACGGCTCTCACAGTCAGGAAGTTCTTCCTAATGTTCAGATGGAATCTCCTTTGATTATGTCTGAATTCTAGTCTATCTGGGTTAGGCTTAGCTGTGTGCCAGTCTCTTTTCATGGATTTGTACTGAAAGAAACACCAGATGTTGTTGTTGTTGTTATTGTTGTCATTTGTATTCTGCTCTTATAGCTGAATTTGGCCTGGTTTTAGGAGACAAACAAGGTCAGGTAAGGATATGAATTGAACAACATCATGAGAGCTTAGAGAGAGATCACTCTCCCCAAAACCTTGACACTATTCGCCTAGATGGATCAAAGATCTCATTCTATGTAAGGCAGGTCTCCATGCTCCCATTATATAATATAATAAAAGCAACAACAAGTCATAACACGCGGATTCCAACCAAGAATGATACAAGCCCCATGTGTTGTTTGGACAGTCTTCCTTTGTGTTGCCATTTTGCAACAACACCCGCACACCCGCCTTGCTTGATCTCAATGTTCTCTCTCAACCACCTTGGGTTCGCTTTCTAAAGGAAGCCTCCAGGTATTCAAAGCCAAGCATCCAAGGAATCATCTCTCCCATGGTTTGTGCCCGATCTTGTGGTTTGTTTGCCGATGGATGTCGAAAGGGGAGAGTCGCTTGGCTCGCATTCTTGAAAGTTTGGGCGAAAAGCCCCGAAGGCTGGCCCTTCCTGCTCCCAAACTTTGCCAAGCTGTTCCAGCACAATGGCCCTTTGATCCTGGCGCTTCCAGACAAATCTGTCAATTATGGTTGTGTGATCCCAGGGAATTAAAGACAATCCTTGTTTCTACATCCCAAGGGCAACTGACGAGGTGCTTCCTGTTCTGGGATTCGCAGGAGAGAATCTTTAACTCAGTGTTTGTCCACCTTCCTAATGCCGCGACCCTTTCATAGAGTTCCTCATGTTATTTATTTTATTATATGTTTATTTCGTGTACTTCTACCCCGCCCTTCTCAACCCCCGAGGGGGGACTCAGGGAGGCTTACAAAAAGGCACAATTTGATGCCTACACAGTAATACAGATAAAATATAGACAGCAATTAAAACAGTTTTAACAGTTTAAAACAATCAATATATATCACAGTCAACAAAACCAATCTCATGCTCAACCTTCGCAACTCAGAGTCCATAACTTCATTCCACATTTTCCATTCCTATCAATCGTCATTGTCCTTTATTTATCTGCCAGATTGCCCAAACGCCTGGTCCCAAATCCATGTTTTTAATTTCCTTCTAAAGGAAAGGAGGGATGACGATGATCTAATTTCCCCGGGGAGTGAATTCCATAGGTGAGGGGCCACCACCGAGAAGGCCCTGCTCTCGTCCCCGCCAGTCTCACTTAAAATTATTTTCGTTGCAACCTCATAACTGTAATTTTGCTAGTTATGAATTGTCATGTAAATATCTGATATGCAGGATGTATTTTCATTCACTGGACCAAATTTGGCACAAATACCCAATAGGCCCACATTCGAATACTGGTGGAGTTGGGGGGTAGGGGATTGATTTTGTCATTTGGGAGTTCTGGGATTTATAGTTCACCTACAATCAGTCCAGGCCATCAAATGC